CATCGGGCTCGGGCTGCTGTTGCTGCTGTTGGCCCGGCCGACCGCATGCGTGCCAGGTAAGTCGGCGACCCCCGGGGCCGGGCCGTCTCCTTTTCTCCGCGGCCCCCAAGCCCCCCGCGCTCTGCTTCCTCAAGACGCCGGCCCTTCCCCTTGGGCCCAGCGCCCAGAGGCGGGGGACCAGCCCCCCGGGAGCCGCGGGAGCGCGGCCGAGCCTGTGGTCCGGAATCGGGGGGCGTCCCCTCAGCTCTCATGCAAAATGCAGGCGCTGGGATTGTGCTCGTACCTGATGGTTTGGATGTGATCTGGAATACTTTATTGTCGGGGCGAAGGGGCACATTCCCTATGTGTGCTTTCAAACACGATAGCTTTGCCTTCAGTGGCCCTGCACCCCCAGAGGCGGCCCGGCTGGCCCGTTCCCCCCCACCCCGTGCACCGGGACACAAAGAACAGCCAAAGAAAATCTCTTGGAAAGCGCCCTGGGCCCGGTTCTTTCTACACAGGCGTGCCGAATACAATGGAGTGTGAAATTCTGTGCCGGGCAGGCTTGGAGAAGGGCTGTCTTCATAACCAATGCAACTTAGCCGCTGCCCCCCAGCAGAGGGTTTATGGGTTTTGTTGTTAGGAACGTACACATTGCCTCTCTGAAATGTTCTTCTGTCCACTCTGGGCGTGCACACAGGGTGACCGTTGGTCTGGAATTGCCTCTGGGCAGACACACAGCCAAAGGGTGGCTGCCCAGCACACATTTGACCACTGTGGGTCAGACCAGGAAAGGTGGGGTGGCCTACCATGGGTGGAGAAGGAGTCCACCCAGAACAGAAACCAGGGCAAGCTCTACTGGCTTCCCTTCTTGTGGAAGAGGGCAAAGACCTGCCCCGGCGCTTGGGTAGGACGTGGAGCGTGCTTGGAGGTTTTCCTTGGATCTCTGCTGGAATTGTGACCTGTGCCACATAGAGGAAGGGACCTGAGAGAGCCCAGAGTGTGCCATTTCTATCAACGAGGAAACTGAGGCACAGAAGGGACTCGCTCAAGGTCCCAGCCTCCCTGCTGCTCCCAGCTGCTCCGACCTGCAGACATTTCTACAGCCTGGACCTCAAAGTACTTTCTCTAGTTGGGTTGGAGCTGGGGTGGGCAGCATGGGTCTCCTTTAGGCAGGAGAGAGCTATGGAGAAACAGAGAGGGACAGAGAGAGAGAGACATAGCCAACAGCTCTGCCTCACCTAGTTCCTGGGGGGAGGGGCAGGGCGCTCAGCTCTGCCTTGGCTGTGTGCTTCAGTCCTGGGTATCCAGAGGAGAGTAAACTGTCTAGGAGAGGACATGGTGATCAACAAAGAGCCCATGGAATACTAATGGGATTATTTGGCCATTGACTGTCTGCTTTCTGGGTGCCAAACTGCCTCTTCTACAGACAATCCAGTTGCTTTCTTCATTAGCCCCATTTTACAGATGAGGAAACTAAGACTCTAGGAGTTGATTTGTCTTGGTTTGGCTCCCAAACTCTGCACATTTCCTCTGTTCTCTATTGCTTCTCCTTGTGAACATGGCTATCTGGACCCACAGCAGTGCTGTGAAGAATATAATATTATTTATTTGGAAACATTTAAAATAAGTGATGGAGCTGTTTGTTGGATTCTTCTATCACTTTTTCCTCTATATGCCTTTTCCGTTTCCCCTGCCAGCCCCAATGCAACTATTCAGCCTGGGGTTTTTAGGGTTGTGAGTTGCTATACAGTCTGTTCTAACGTATGGCAAGCCCTTTGTTCAACAGAAAGATCTTTCGAGGTCCTGTGCCATCTTTACAATTGTTGGTATGTCTGACCATTGTTGCAGTGGGTTTTGAGTGCCTTTCAGACTGACCTGGGGCTCATCTTCTAACTTTCTATTGCACCATGTTCAGCTGTGATCCATGGGTTTTCATGGATTTTCTTTCGAGTCTGTCTCAGTCTGGAAGCTCCTCTGAAACCTGTCTGTCATGGGTGACCCTGCTAGTATTTGAAATACCAGAGGTGTAGCTTTTAGCATCGCAGCATTACACAAGTCGCCACAGTACAACACACTGACTGAAGGGTGGTCGATATCTAACCTGAAATAACAGAATTGACCATATTTTTCTGGTAGTGACATCAGGGAAGACACTTCAGTATATTATTAATTTGTGGATTGGGCTCCCTTGGTTTTTACAGCTGGTTGCAAGCTGGGTAACAATACCAAACCCACTACCAATGAGTCCTTACTGACTCATTGGCCCTACAGGACAGGACAGAACTGCTGCTTAGGGTTTCCGAGACTGTAAATCTTTACAGGAGCAGACAGCTTCATCTTTCTCCCACGGAGCTGCTGGTGAGTTTGAACTATTGACCTTGAAGAGAGCAGCCCAGTGCTTATCCGAAGTGGCTGTGTGGCCTCAAGGATTCAGTTGGAAGCATGGAGCAGAGTGTGGGCAAGTGTAGAAGGGTCCTGAGCCTAGAAGGCAGTCATTGACCTGCTGAGCAGGGCTCCATAGAGGAGACCCCTACGGGTGATTCCTGAACCACTTCCAGAAGGCTGTGAGGAGCAGTGTTGATGGGGGGTACTTCCTCCTGTAGCCAGGGCACTGGGTAGGTAGCAAGTGGCCACTGCTCTGGGAAGCATGTGTGCCTCAGTTGTCTGGTCCATGACTCCCCTGGGCCACTGGACCCCCTGCGACAGTCTCAAGAGTTGTGTTTCTGTCAGCAGAGCAAAACTGGATGACTGTAAAAGTGCTTGTCAGACAAAGTCTTTTGGGTAGGATGTGTTAAGTGGCAATTCCGCCATAGGTATCTTGAGGGTCCTCTGTTTTCATTAGCTTCTGATGGATAGAGCCCACCTTCCAATTTGCCTGTTACTTCAGCATTCAGCGTTTTGATTGTCTCCAGCCTCCTTTTTTTTCACCCTGGTAAATTTGGTCTTGACTGCTGTAGAAATAACTTTAAAACTTTAGACTTGATTTTAAAGGTAGCCCTGGTGGCTCAGTGGGTTAAATGTTGGGCTGTTAACTGCAAGGTCAACAGTTTGCATCTACCAGCCACTTTATGGGAGAAAGTTGAAACAGTCTGCCTCCACGTAGGCTCACAACCGCAGCAACCTTATGAAGCAATTCTACTCTGTCTATAGAGTTGCTATGAGTCCAGGTTGATTCAGTGGCATTAGGTTTGCTTTTTTGGTTTTGCTTTTAGGAAACCTAACATCCATAACCTAACATCCATAATAAGGAGCTCTGGTAGCGTAGTGGTTATGAGTCAGGCTGCCAACCTTAAGGTCAGCAGTTCGAAACTACCAGCGGTTCCGCGGAAGAAAGATGAGGCTTATTTGCTCCCGTAAAGATTTATAGCCTTGGAAACCCTGTGCAGGGTCACTATGAGTCAGAACCAACTCCACGGTACTTAACAACAACAACATCCATAATATAAAAAGGACAGGGTGCACCTTGTTCTACCTCTTGTTCAAGGACATGTTTTTCTTAAAATAAGTTTTTCTGAGTGTGATATCTTTGCAGAAATTACTGGAGAGCACAGGAAAGAAAGTAGTCCCTACAACCCAGAGATAATTCTGTAAATAGTCGTCTTTTTTGTATGTTTGTTAGCATTTACCAAAATTTAAATGCGAATTGTTGGTTTATGTGCCGTATTTCTGCCTTTGTTACTTCATATTTTACTTCAGTATTTCCCACCTACCAGATATTATTTGGAGCCCTGGTGTGGCTCTGTAGGGTATACACTGGACTGCTAACCTCAAGGTCAACAGTCCAAACCCATCACCCACTCCTCAGAAACCCTCTATAGGGTTAATAACTTAACAACAATGAATATTATTTGAAAACACAGTTTTCCATGCTAATAATTTATTTACTCTTTTGTCCTGTCATTTCCAGCTTTTCTGGCTGTTATAACTAATGCTCTGATGAATATCAACCTGATAAGGCTGTGTCCTATATTTCTTTGTATGGGA